TGAATCTTTTTCAGCAGCATTTTGGCGTTTCGGTCGTGGACCTGACTCCAGTAAGCTTGAATTTCAGGATGATCATCGCTGTCTGGATCATCAGGATCCAACTGAAGTCGCTTTTTGCGTCTCTTGGCTTGGCGTTGCGCCCACTTGTATTCTAGAAAGACTTGGAACGCCACGCGGAAAACCGTAAATCGACGCAGCTGCTTTTTCAGAAATGATGGCTCCCGTCCCTGTGCAGGAGCAAAAGTGGATGGTTTACAGAACAGAGAAAAGGATTTTTTGGTTGTGCTGATTTCCTTATTTGGAACGATCAATGGAGTGGTTTCATTGGATGCAGTACTTGTTGTTGTTGTCAGCCCTTTGACATTTGTAGCAGATGTACTTGATCGGGCGGAGAAAGCAGTGGCCGTAGTGATGGTAGCCACCAGGAAGCAGAGCACCAGCCCTGTGGGTGTGAAGAATGCTGATCCGTAACGACACATTTCTTCCAATGCCTTCAAGATTGTGGTCGACAGGACCATGGGAGAGAACAAGATGTCGTGTGGGCCCAAATATTCTTATCTGTGGTATCACCAGTCGTCTGCCGAAAGCTGAATGGCAAGCTTTTATGTTGTGATTTCCAAAGAATGAGTCGGCAGATAACGCATCGTTTGAAGAAAGCAGATCATGGTCGAAGCAAAGTGAAGAAAGCCAGGTCGTGGCGTCGTGGCAAAGTTGGGAAACCTTGTCATGAACGCGAAAGAATGATCGCGAAATGCATCGATCCATCGAATAATTAAATTGTATCGAATCGAATTTCGTCTCCCGGAGACGATTTGCTTTTAGGGGTAAGGGTACTTTTGGGGAGTGGAGGTTTGAATTATACCCCGCGTGCATTACTTAGAGGCCTCTGTAGAAGTCTACGTATTCGACTAGTATTGTATTGACGGGATACAGTCAACGCATGTACATGCACATGAAAGTCGCCTTGCGTTCTTCACATGTTTTGCATGAATGACGAGGGAGCAGTTTCGGGGCTCGGGGCGAAGCTGAAAGGGATGAGCGCGCGGAGCGCGCGAATACTGTTTCAATAAAGGGAGTTAGGTGTTGGTAATAAAAGATTTATGGAAACGGAGACGACCCAGGGGGCGTATGAATCGAATCGAATCGAATCAGCTCTATTGCCCTGCTTAAAAATAGCCCTCCTTCGTTTTCAGTTAGTTCACGAAACACAATGCGACAGGCCACAACCTTAAAACCCTTTGACCTTGCTTTCATCAATCATAAATCCAGCAGAAACCGTCTTTAGTTAGTGGAAGAACTAGCTAGTATTCTCTAAGTTTTGGTTGTATGGTACATGTAGCAATTGTCCTCTTGCCGCCATGTCTTCGCAGCAACTAGCAACGATGCTTTCTACCGTTTTGCACTCCCCGAATGCGCTTTGTGCCAATAATGGGAGAATAGCATTTGCACTCATCAAATCCAAGGTGGCCCAGTTGTTTGTACAGAGATTGCCACCAAAGTTGGGAATGTTGCAGTCTTTGACGGGTGCACAAAAGGGGATACGGTATCCATGGGTGGGATGAAATCCTTTCTCTGCCGCTGCTGCGGGTGGACGCTTTCCGGTATTGTAGATGACAATCGTTGTTTGGCTTAAAACTGAACTGCACGTGATGTGTAGTGCAATTCATCGCATGGTATGACGCGAAAAAACCATATCAGCCTCCTTTGAATTGTGCAATCTTCCTTGCCATCCAACAAATCATCTTTCATCTCTCCTCGTTGGTAGCAGCATTATTGCTGCTGTTTCTTCCCGTGGGAATTTGTCCCTGTTTCAGAGACTCAATTTCAGCTTGTAGATTGTCACGTGCTCGTTGTTCAAAGGCTTCTAGCATGACTTGTGTGCCAAAGATTTGTGGTTGTTTCAAAAAGGTTTCGAGGACTTCAGCTCGTTTTTCGCAGTACACTGCATGCGGCACATGCTGATATTCCTTTCGAATCAAGGCAGCATAACACAAATAGGCATTTTGTTCTTTTCCCAGTACGGCCATGTCGAGGTCCAAAAAGAGACTGAGCAAGGGTGAATTTTCGGTGGATACTTGATGTTGTTTGGTGGCCAGAATCAATTCTACCACGGAATCTTCCAGTCCATTGGTGATAGTCGTGACACCTCCCGATTGGAGTTCCTTGAGGAATGTTTGAAACAAAGCGGCACTGTCTTCTTCATTGGTAGAAGAATGGACATTGTAAATGGCATCGTGGAAAAACGTGGCCAACACCAGTGTCTCTTCTTCACTGGTTTTTCGCTTCTTCTTTGTGGGAGTTTGCTCTTGCAAAAAGAGCATGTCCAGATACAAGAGCATTTCTTCCAGATGCATCAATGTGTGATAGTGCCGTTGTGATTCCGAGTGATGGCGACACAGCTTCTCAAACCAACTCAAACTAATGTCGGGTCGTCCACCAATGTTACAGGGACATCGCATCCATCGATACATCAAATCCAACCGCAATTGTTCGCCCTTGACACTGGCATCGAAATTCTCATTGTGAGCGACAATGGAATTTCTCAAAGCGAGCAATGTAGAACTGCTATCATCCTTGTTGCTGTCTGGGTCGTCCATGGTGGCAGAGTCAAGTCCTCGATTCTAACGATGCGGTTGTGACGACATCAAGGTTGATGGCTGCTAAGCATTGACGAGCCCCACGCTCAGCTGTATTCTCATAGGACCCTGTTTTGTCCCCCCTAACTAATCCCTTGCGGTCCGGTACGGTACCGGTATGTTCCTTTGTGGAGTGAAGGGGGGCTGTTTGCCACGGTTTGAGGCAGCCCCCCCAAGACGACGAGCGAGCGACGAGCGACGATGAAGCAACCATGCAACAGCAAGTTCCAACAACGTTATTGGGAGAAGGCCACTACCAGCATCATTAGCTAGCCTCGGGAGGTCATCGTCAACAGCAAATCAGAACTAAGAGACTGGAGGCAATGAATACAAGTACAGCCACAACCGTGAGACGGGGACGAAACGGAACGGCGCCTCCCAAACAAGCTGGAAAAACGAAACCGTGCCGCTACGGTAGTGACTGTCGAAATCCAGCAACGTGCCATTTCCAGCATCCACCATCACAATCATCATCGAGACAGCAGAAAAAGTCCCAGATTCCTTGTCGGTACCAGAGTCAGTGTCGAAATCAGAAAAAGGGTTGTCCCTATAAGCATCCTACAGCCAAAATGGCAACAGTGGAACGCGGTAAGGATGGTCTGCGAACGGACGTGTACTATGGAGCCCTGGAAGAGACAGAAGCCAAAGGATACCGTGCGGCTGGAATTCTCTTGCTACGGAAACGACCAACCACCGAAGGACCATCTTATTTCGAGGCCACAACAACGACATCATCATCATCTAGCATTCAGGTCTTGTGCTGTGCCGAAGTGCGCAAGAAAAAGAAACAAAAACCAAAGAATGGGATTGTGGAATTGAACTTATTGGGAGGAAAGATTGAAGACGCCGATGGAACCGATTCCAGAGTCACGGCGGCGCGAGAGTTTTGGGAAGAAACGGGTGGGATGGTGCCATTGGCGGAATGTCAACGCATTTTGAATCACGACAACAAGGTGTTGCCCATTTGGTGTGGCCCTGGAAAGTATGCCTTGTATGTGGCGTACGATGGCAACAACAATCCACAGTGGGATCAACTACCCGTGACGTATTCCGAAGCACTGCAGTCGGGAAAGGAATTGCCAGAGGGGGCCGAAGCGTCACATTTGGTATGGGTCGATTGGGCTATCATCCAACAGTGTTCCCAATCTCGCAAGAAGAAGAAGAAACCTGCCAATGACAGTATTGGTAGTGATGATGGGACAATCTCCTTTCTGGTACCCTCCGCTGACAACACCGATGGAGAGCGCATAACGGTGCAGCAATCCAACTTTGTCAAATACCTCTTCCCAGACAGCAACTTCCAGGGTGGAGTCGAACTGGCCATTCAAAAGTTCCTTCCTAGTAGTAGTGGCACAGAAACAACGTCCAATAAAGATGTCAAGGGCTCTGAAGGAGCCAGCGGAACAAAAGACGCGGTCGAGGCAATGACCAGGTCACTGGAAAGTGTAACGATATAAAACTTCTTGGCCATACGAGCTTCTAGCTAGCGAAATCCGAGTATGTTGGACGTTCGAGTATTGGACGTTAGCCAGCCTTAGCAGTCGAACATCTATCTATTCATACATATCAGGTAGTGGAGCAACAGGGAGGACATTGTACCAGGCCTCCTCAAGCAAATACATCCATCAAGAACTTGATTGTTCGCTTCTTCAAACTTTCATTGTCACAGTGGTTCTTTTGGACACAAGCTACTGCTTCCACTGCTCCATTCTTGATCATGGTGCCATGATTGTTCTTGATAACAGTCAAGCCAATGAGCAAGGTACAACAGGCACTCAACAAACCAACATGGTCCGGGAATCTCTTCATCATCCCAACGATAATGTCTATTCCATCCAGGTTTTCTACAAACCGAATCATGCCCTCTGCCACAGACCTTGGATCATTCGGGTGGAGTTTAAAGGCATTCATGAGGGTGCAGCATCCCACAAACTGAAGCTCCAAGGATTCCGAAAAAGTCTTGAGGGAACGGACAACAGCTTCAATGCCACCAGACTTGACCATGGCAAACTTTCCAAGACCATGCTTCCAGCTAACACTGAGCATGTTGGCGAGACTCCTGCAAGAATAGTTCTGAATGTCCTGGTGGTCAGGCCATTTGCGCATGGCGAGAACCACCAAACTGATGGGACCCAGAGGGGCTGCCGCCTTCCAATTTTTGACGGCATTTGTGTTGCTGGAAAGGAACAGTTCCCTCATGCGCTTCAATGCACTCACAACATCCTCGACATTTTCCTTTTGCAGTTCTACAAACAGCAAATCCGGAATCTCATCCTCCTCCTTTTTGATTTCAAGGACTTGAACGGAACATTCGTCATCAGGAACAGTAGTGTTTGCTACAGAATCTGTAGAGAAACTTACGACCGTCTCTGCAGAACAGCATGTTCTGGATTGAAGCTCTGCTTTGAGCTCTGGCTCTGGTGGAGAAACACGACGGGGCTTTTTTGCTGGTGGCGGACCTAATGGTGGATCTGATTGCGCCATTGTTGAAACAAGTAATATGTACCTCTAGCTAGCTAGTAGAGCACTTGAAAATATGTCATATGTACCTCGTCAGTGCGTTTTGTTTTGTGCAAAAGCTTCATCCCAACATCATTGTTTCCCTGCAGTGTTTCTCCCGATGGCTTTTTCCGGGTGTTCGAGTGACTCGAGAGACGCGATCTCGGGTACGGTAGCCCAACCGGACGCAGGCATAAGTCAACGCAGCGCTGTTCTTACGGTGCAGTACCACACCTGGACCTTTCAGACATAAAGATAGATGAACTCGGTGGCTTCAACCAGCGATGACACAGGCTGAAAGGGCCGGAAATCATGATTTTATGAATCCAAGCAAATTGATCAATTCGAAACCTAAATATAAAATCGAAACCTAAATATAAAACTGAAACCAAAATATAAAACCGAAACCAAATTACTATGATAATTAGACTAACTATTAAAATCAAGCCGGAACCCAAATATAAGAACGAATCTAAAATATAAAATCAAAACACAAATACAAAATTGAAACACAAGTAGACTATAAACCGGAATTTGGTGCAAATCGCGATTTCGGGCCGTTTCGCTGTGTCAGCCCACAATCTAATTGTCAACTATGGCATTGCTACCGGTACCTGGAACCTGAACTTTACGACCGGCCTCCCTCGGTGCAACTCCTGCGTCCCCTCCCATCCCTCTTTCACACATGGAACTCACTAGTACCGGCACCGGTACCGTAATGACATCGGCCTCAGGATTGAGCTGCCAGGCGTCTAGAGTACATACACAACCTCAATGCAAATGGCAGTGCCAGTCAGTTCGTGGTTTGTCTACTGTAGCTACATGTATACCGTAGCTTACGGTGGTTGGTGCCTGCACTTAGTTGTAGCCATGGTTCCGAGTAACCAGATCCATGTCTGCCTGTATCGACGATAGCAAGTTGCAGTCGGCGAACTCCGTGAAGGAACAAGTGGACCAGGGAACAATGCTCCATGGTTTGATGAAGCCAAAAGCAATGAAGTACATGTAGATTTGCCTCCCATGGGCAGCTTTCGCGACGAAGGACTTCCAACTGAGGCGCAACACAGGTGCCAATACCAAGGTCACTATAGATCAGTGAGCAAGATCCGTGTTCCTTTCAGGTCATTTCAGGGCAGCCAAAAGGTTTTCCTTTTGGATAAACCACATTCTTTTTTTCTTCTTCGCTTGCAGGAGGGATGATTGGGCAGTCACTGAGTTGATAGGAGGACTGTCACTCCTCCCCGGTTTGTGTCTCACACGAAAGACAGAGCTCGACAGGAATGCGAAGAATCTGAGATCACTGGTTCAAACGCTGATGATTGGGGTTCAAACGCAGATGATTGGGGTTTGCAAAGCAACGAGAGCACCAATTATATGCCACGATGGAATGTAGACAATGAGTTTGTGGACAAGCTAGCCAGGAGGTGCAGGGCAGAGTACCGTACGGTACAATCGGAGCGAGTATGCCGAAGGTAGACTGCATGACGGTGCTTCAACGGTGCGATCAAGTTTTTGCCTCGCTAGCCCCAAAACTCTCAAACTTAGTTTGCCCGTACATTACAATGGAAACACTCTTTGAATGCCATGGCCATAAGGACGCCCGTTCATTCGACCACTTGACATGACGATGCTATCGGTACCCTGCGGGACAACGTGGTGTGCCCTCGTCTTGAGCATTGTAGTGCGGACGTAAGGCATAGTCTTCTTCAATCTTTTGGTGCCGAAAGAACAAAACCTTGTCGCCCAAGACTGATGGTTGCAGTTTGCGAGTGAGTTCCAAGTGACCTACATGGATCTCTTGATCCATCAACTCTGGGTCTGCCACTGCATAAATGTCATATAAAGTGGTTCCAACCTCAATGGCGGTGAGAATGTCAAACAGACTTCCCTCGGGTGGATAGGAAGCGAATTGTTGCGTCAAGGTTGGGTTGGGTCGAAAAATGACTTTGAATGGAAAGTTCATGGTTTGTATGGTACGGTGCACGTCGTATTGCATGCCGGCAATACTTTCCGTGGATAGGGCAACTTCGCTGAGACCCGTGCGAGTACTGGGACAACTGTATTGACTAAATCGATGGCCCACATATCGCAGCAGCGCCGTAGTGGCAGGTTTCAAATGATTGGAAAAGTCAAACTCGAAAAAGTTGCCGCTGGTCTGTCCTTCGAGAGATTCCATTGCGAGCATGTTGGACGAGGGCATTCCATCACGAAAGAGTTTCAGGGAGAGTCCAGGTGTGGTGCCCGAATCATCATTGGGAGAAGTATAGGAAAGACGTATCAATGCATAGGGAGCTCCTGTCGCGAAGAACCCAGTGAATGGATTATCGTCAGTTGCATTCACCGTCGGATGCCATGTCACAAGTCCAACACCTCCGACGGATCGAATCCTTTTGGCATGAGTATAGGGCAAATCGTCTCGAAAACGCTCAAAAGTCGGCGAGAAATCATCGGTTGTCAAGAAGGCGACTTTACCGGCAGTACTCGGGAAGTTTCCGGATTGATCACTGGGGCTCTTGTCGGCATTCTCCAGCAGCTCATCTTCAAGAGCTGCATCCCAAAAGCCAAATTTCTCTTCCGCAGTCCAGGATTCATAGTCTTGAGGAAGGCCATCAAATAATCCTGATACACCAATCAATCCCAAAAGGGCAAGGATGAGTCTCGATAGTAGTAAGGTAGTCATATGGTATCTTTCATGGACTCTGAACATCTTCATGCTTCGCCTTGTGAGTGTTGATTGGAGCGTCTTCGCGTCTTCGTTTTTATTCAAAAAGTGAGAAGCTTCCACCTTGCAACGACGCCGTAACGCCCGTTTACTCGCTCTGGAATGATGAGTAATCGAGTCAGAGTCGAATCGAATCGAATCAATCATTCGAAATGGTTCAATCGATTGAATTCAACGTCCCACCGTCTTTCTCTAGAGTAGTAGGCTGTTGTACTGGAATAGCTACTGTACTGGAATCTCTTTGCCAGTTCTGGGTGAGAAGGTAAGGGGTTTTAGAGTACTGAGGAAGTTATCCATGGAAGCCAACCAGGGGCCAGGCTTAGGCAAAGAAGAGGCCGAATTGGGGACTAGTGTCCGTGGGATCATGGGACACAACTTGAGGACCAGCACGGGGGTCTGATACTGCTGCCTCCTTTAGAACCCAATACCGCACGCAGACTTGCCTGGAACGGATTGAACTTGCCAAGACAAGTCAGAAGAGCGACCTGAAGTGTTTGGACGCATCGAAATGGTCTGCCAACTGATGAATGATCAATCTTAGCAGCCTGTCAGGTCGGTTACAGAAACGGTTGAGCGAAACTGAAACACTCATTTTCAAAAGAGGTATAGCTTTGCACGTATGGAATCACAAGGCAGAGATCTACTACAATTGGTCTCTCCCTCTCTCGTACACCGGTGTCCCATGCGCCCTTCCCTAATCTGTGGTTGCAGAGATCGTGGGGGCGGACCTTGAGAATGCCACGGCGGATATATGCATTCCATAGATGCCCATGATGCGAAGTCTGACAGAGGAATCATACTCGACGCTCCACCATACTCCTTTACTGTGCTTGTCGATCATTTTGGTGGGCGCGATGACGTTCAAGGTTGACAAATCCATCACACGCAATGCAAATTGCTCATGTTCGGTTTTTGCGACGCAATACAAAGACAGTTTGTATCTCATGGCCTTGTCCTTGTCTTTGTGCACGCTGATCAATACGGACGACTGTTCTTTCCCTCCGGCGATCTTACCAAAGTTCGTGGTGTTCACGTCCACGACAATTCCAGGATTCCAGTAGGTGTCGTCGTCCATCCCAAGCCATCCCAATCTACGGCTGTCCCCAAACGGTAGGTACGCTGGATCTGTGTCGGAGGAGCCAACATAGGCTGCATCCACTGGATTGGACCCTTCAAAGCCATGGCTGTAGATCTCAACGGAAGAAACATAGCTCGGCAGATTCTCAACGTTTGTCCCGTTAGTATTGGCGCCCAAGAGGATGTACCCGTCGGCGCCGTGCTCCTTAAGGCCATCTCCTTGACTTTTTCGGTCAATAGAAACTGATGCAGGGTAGTTTCCATGACGCAAAGCAGAGGCGCCCTGATTTTGTTGTTCGCAGACATATGCAGCTTGGAAGGACACGGTGTGATAGGATGTTGCCCTGAGAACAACAACGTTCTGTGCAATGGCTTCTGTCCAATCTTTTGCCTGCCAAGGAGCTTCCGCTTCTTTCACAATCGTTCCGTTTCCCTTGACTTCTTGCAAGTGACATTTGCGAACAGATTTACGAAATCCCACATATAGTTCTGGTAAACGCTGAGGATTCTCCACGTGAATTGTTGCCATGGCAGCACCTAATTTGGCTTCTTGCCACTTTGCATACACAGCGATGCTCCCTTTTGGAGTCGGAACGGTTGCATTGACTCGAGCATGCGTTGCCGAGACGTAGGGAGCCACCAATGTCGCGGCGTAACCCGGCATCATAGGTCGAATCCCTGCCAGTGCCGTGGACATCCAAGCCGTTACACCCGATGCCCAAGGATGACACAGTGAAGGCGTTGTGGGGAGGCGATCCCCATCCTTTCGAAACGATGTCCAGTCTGGCGAACTCAATTCAAAGAAGCACCCCTTCCCTGTATCCAGCATGTTACCCCAGCAATGATGAATCGACTCGATCGCAGACTCCATGGCATCCGCTGCTGCAAAGCCCTGCAGGATCCAGTACTGATTAAAAGTACTCCAGGAACAAATCGTCACGGAATCGTTCAAGGTCGAGTTGATCCACAGGTCCCTGTCTGCCGGTGTGGCAATCCCGGCCGCGAGCGCATTGGCTGACGAGTGGACACCCAGTTTGTCGGGGTATTCCGGTACCGTCGACCGAAAGCGATTGACGAGATTGCCATGCACTGTTTTATACCGTGCCGCATCCTTGTCAAATTGAGGCAGGTGAACCAATGCACGATACACATCCCGGACCACCTTGACCACCAACGCTGCAAAAGTCAAGTGTCCCTCTTGGTTGCACGGATCATTGTCATGAAAGCACCATCCATTTCCCAAACGGTCATCCCATCCCTGCCACACAATTTTCAAGCCGTCCTTTAAAAAGTCATTGATGCGGGCGTCCACAATCGACAAGACATCCGGTACCAACTTGGCAAAGCCATCCTGATCTCCCGTGGCCCAATACCAATCCAAGACACTACCCACCCAATACATGGGATAGGACATGATTGTATCATCGACAACATGGTGACCGTTGACATGACCGGAATTGGTTTTCCACAATTGTGTTTGTACCAAATCATAGACGGGAGCATCACCGAATGCCTGCAATGCCGTGGCCATGGTGGGATGTCCATCTCCTTGAATGGCCACACGGTCCCCGCGTTCAATGAGAATGCTATTGAATTCCTGTGCTTCCATATTCAGCCGTACCCCGTAGGCTCCCCGATACCATGTTTGTGTCAATCGGTCGTCTTGAGAGGAAAAGCTGCCCTGATAGGCAATGGGTTTGATTTTGGCCACCAAGGAAACGCTGGGTAGCGAGAGAGGTTGAGCATTAGCCGGGTCTGTTTTGGTCAAGTAGATCCATGTATAGCGAATGCCTTCGTAGAGTTCCTTGTTGGTTTCGAGACGAAAATACGTGTTGTTGTACAAGACGGGCTTTCGTTTCTTGCCGGGGTAGACAGAATTGAATTCCGAGAGGCCAGCTTCCACGTGCCACCCCGAAATCTTTCCCAAATTATTGCTGCTGCTCAAGGATGATTGAGAAAGCACAAACTCAAACCACGCTGCTCGTTCCACACCCCAATCCATTTGAATGATGACACTGTCGACAATGGAATCATTCTGAATAGCAGATGGAGGGGTAATGACAATATCCACTGGCTGAGGGACGCGATAGATTTGGAGCTGCGAGGCATTGACCGTGGACTTGTCCCAGGTATATCGCACCAGAGGATCTGGACTGAGGGGAACGGCGGGATTGCCAACGGGGTCGAATCCAAACAACTCGGGAAATGGCTCTGGGGGTCCTTTAGAAGCAGGGTTCGAGAGTTGATGTTGTGTCCAGGTGGCGGTGTTCTGGACATATGCCGTTGTTAAAGCCACAAAAAGCCACAACAGCATCAGCATGGACTTGGCGCTAGTAGAGAAAGAACTCATCTTTCAAGAGATACCAATAACGCGAAGCCTTTTATAAAGGAGAGTGCAGTTTGCCTTGTACTAGTAGAGACAGATCCTTGTTGTGTTGACGTCCAGAATGCTCAACCAAAGCGCTGTCTCCTGAGAGAAATGATGGACGTTGGATCTTTGGTATCTTTTGGCGTTCTTAACAAATAAATAAAAAAATTAGTCAGATACATGTAAAATGACATATTTAATGTTAAAAAGACATTTTTGAAGCAACAGAGGAAGAAGAAGAAGAAGCAAAATAATGAAAGATCCAAGACTGAGATTTTTCACCTCCCTCGCTCATAGCTCCCTCGATCATCCCTAGCAAGAGTCGAGTCTAATCGCTCACACTCCCTTTTCTCTCGATCGAAGAGGACAACATCGACGATGATGGCTTGTCTCCACGATTGTGAGGCAGAACGGCAACAAAAGAGCCGAAAGGAGACCCACCTGATCCATCCAAGAGAACATGTAGCTGTTTGGGTGTTCTTTGCAATCCTGGCGATTGCTCGGCTGCGATATGATACGGATCGTCAGCTGTGGATGTCTCACAGGAATCTACACGTAGAAACTCCCATCCGACTCCTGCTGGGAGATACTCTCCCCCAATTGGAACGATCTATTGTGTCCTATTGTGCCTATGACATTGCAGCAAGCTGCAAAAAATCCATTCCACTCTTCACCAAGCCCCAGATGGAACAACGCAGGCAGCAACAAAGACACGTGCCGCTCGAGCTCAGGAAACTCCCTGTTTTGCAGCTGGATATTGTGGACGATGCTGCCCCGTGTGATTCCGTCCTCGCTCCAAATCCTTTTCTCGCAATTCTCTCCAAATACGGTCGGTTCTATCAGAATCTCGATTGTCCAGCTACCGGTACGCACCCAACAACCCAGCCGCTGGAGCAAAGGATTCTCAAGCAAGATGAAAATGATCCAACCCTGGAACAACTATGCGACATGGTCATCACAGTGATCCGAACTGTGTTTGGCTACAATGAAGGACATGCCAAACACATACTTTTGGAGTCCATGATTCAGCTTTTGACAAACTACGAGGTGACCATGGAGTTGCCCCAACAGACACCGCTTGACGTTGACACAGTTGATGTCGATGTTGATGCCAGATCATCCATAAAGGTGAAACTATATCTAGACGACAAGGAACTCCCCATCGCCAAGAGTCGACTAGAAATGATTCGACTCTTGTCTGATGCGTGGAAACGGCAAAAGGGCAAAATAGCAGAGGAAGAAACAATCGTCAATGATTTGACAGTATTGCTCGAACAAGGTCCCATGCCGGTAATCACCGCACCTGCCCAAACCCTCGCACCACTGTCATCATCACGGACCACTTGGCATCCCCATAGTATGCAATACGAGACTTCCAAAATGGCATCCTGTCTCTTGCGTTTGTACAATCAAAATCAAATCATGACCCAACGGTGCTCGCATTTCATGGTGGCGGCACACGACAAAGCCCAAGAGTTTGAACTTCAATGGGACTGTCCTCTGGCCGCTCTGGTCCGATGGATCTACGGGATACTCTGCGTGTGTGCTCTCTTGGTGCTGTCGTCCGATATGGGACTGGGGGAGACGACCAAACAACGACGGGGACGACGCTTGCGTCAAATGCTGCAAGATCCACTGTTGCGAAAGGGCATTGAACGGGATGCTAAACGACGACTGAAGAATGACGAGGCAGCCGTGGCCAAGTACATGGCGGAACAAGACGCAAAGGTAGCCGAGATCGAGGCAGCGGATGCCGACCAGGGATGGAAATGGAGGGAAGCCAGGATTGTGGCATGGAAGGAGAGGGTGCGGTATCTCTGGGTGCTTCGCAAGGCCTTGGTGGCTGCGTTGGGAGTATCTGTCGTTCTGCTTGTCGTGGACCAACCCAAGGCGGTAGTGGTTCTTGACAGTGCCATGATTCTTGTGGGGACAATGGGTCTTTCCTATGTTTACATGCCAGAGTCTCCCGAGCAGCAGTCCAAGAAAGGCACGACGGTGCACTCGTCGGGCTTGGAGGAGCCACTGTTGGATGCTCGTCCCAAAGGGGGTTCATCAGTTGAGAGTGCCTGAGAGTTTATCTTGTTACCGAGAGTCATTCTATTGAGAGGCATGGTTCACACATCACGGATACTAAGTACGGCCCGATGAACCGGTAGCATGCGAGGTGTCTCTGCGAACGACGAAGCATCAATTGTTCACTGACTGCTTGGCAGGTGGGGACTCTGCAACTGGCCAAAATTAACGTGAGTTTGCTACACATTAGCCAATGAATGATTCAATCAGACGATTTTAGCCGATGAATCTCCTTGGAAGTTAGCAATTACTTTGATGATGCATGATGATGCACAAGTAAGGTGTGCGACCAGTATGGTGCTCTTGCGTCTGAAGCCCCGGTATTCTTGGCTGTATCATAGCTGTGGTGTGCTGAACGCTGCTTCCCCTGTGTGGAAAGCACGGTCGCTCCTTCTCTCTCTTCCGCACCCATCCCCCCACCACGATGTGTCGCTATCACTCCTGCTGGCTTGCACTGCGTCCAGGGTTGGATGTTGTTTGCTGTGGGTTTGTCAGCCACAGTGTCATGACGTGGCCCACTACCGGTATTGAGAGCCAGTCGGCCCTTCGAATAGTCGACGTCGACCACAATTTTTCCTTTTTTGGCTGTGTCGCGGCTCTGGATATGGATTATGGATGCATACGGTACTAGCTAGTAAATAGTACCAGTACCCCGATACCGGTACCGTAGCCACGCCCACCCATGGTCCAGGATAACAGATTTGGAGACGTCTAGACATTAGCAATCGATATCGGGGTACCGGTGCCACCAAGGCCAAGAGGAGCAGACACGTACACATCCAAATGAGCGACAACCTTTGCGAATTTTTCCTTCGATGTTTGATACCGCACGGGAAGCCTAACCATATCATGCCCAAAACTATTGTATCCCACGATCTGCTTCACTAGCTAGAGGTATCCAATTCCGTTTGTTATAAAAAGTAGAGCAGAGTTCTAAAACCTTCCCATGCAAAAGATTCATCAAATGATGAGAAACTAGGCCGCACGCAGCACTGTGGTTTGCGGATGCCGCTGCATTGAAGTCAATGCCTGTTTTGTCGCGTGCGAGGCACTGTTGGATAATGCCACGTGTTCCGAAGGTGTCTTCGTAGCTGAATGGTAGACTTGCTGCGCATCAATGGCATCTTGAACTCCCAATGCTCGTGCTTCCTCCTGACATGCCTTGCTTTTCACGATCAGGAACTTTTGAAGTCGCTCTGCGACTTGCTCTTTGGCATTGGCAGTCGCGTTGCCAAGGAGGGCCTTTAACTGAGCCTGTTTGCGCAACACAGCAGTCTCGTAGCATCGTCGACGTGCATGACGACGCGGCAGTTGCCCTCGCAAGTACATTTCCAAACCACGGCTACAGACAACTTCTTCCCCTGCCTGTCCATTCACCCCAGTATTCTGGCTCTTTTCTTGACTGATCAATAGGTCTAAGTCCTTCTTGGCCAGTTTCTGCATTTCTCCCTTATCATACCACAACATGTCCATTGGAGCAGCGTCCACATTTGCAGGGAAAGTGATCTGCGATACCCATGGCGCGAATTTCACTTGTTTCGTTGGCTTCTTCAAGGACACCGCCGCCATTTCCTGAGTCAGTGGCTCCATCTCCATCTCTAAGAATGGTGTCATTGTCGCTCTCTTCAAAAACTTTGGAAATCACTGGCTTTTAGGGTTACAAGAGGAGAGATTCAATATATCCGTGGCGGGTCCGTTGACTTGGTTTTATGGCGATTGCTGTTGTGGGTAGCAGTAATCTTGCCTTGGTCATCGGTGACTATGCCATTCAAGATTACCATACCCGTTCAACAAGCAACACAGCAACAGAGAACGATGGACCAGCTTTGCTCTGGTCTGAGGTGGCAAAACTTGCAACCGGTTGTGGGGTTCTCATGACCAGCTGGCAATGTTCATCCGTGATTGATGTTGTAAACTGCTATGGTCAAAACAGTACCAACGGAGATCAAGTCGTTTAACACACATTCCTCATTCACGGGTAGCCTCCATTCACTTGTGCAATGCAGATTGCAGATTCTGGAAAGTGTGGCAAAAGCTGAATTTGGCGACCGGCGACGGTCAGACTTAAAGTCAAATGTGCGATATTTTCAATTTGGCGACTGTTGAATTTGACCCGGAAGTGCATTATTCAACACTGTTGAACTGTTGAATAAAGTGTTGAATAAAGTGTTGAATACACTTCAACACTTGTTGAATCGATTCAACACTTCATTCAACACACGTTCAACAGTTTTCTCAACACTTTCGTCAACAGTCAACACTTTTTTCAACAGCTCTTTCAACACTACGACGATGGCCAAGAAGAAGACCAAAACAAGCACCAAGAGGCCCACAGTTGATGGAGTGACATGGGCAGAGAGTGAAGCTAGGGTCCTATTGAAGGATGATATCATTGCGGGCAGAGTCACGGCTTCAATGATGCCCAAGACAGCACATGAATCAAGAGAAGAGTTTTTGAAATGGGAATTGAGCTTGTTTCGCTCCAACCTTTATAGTCTGAGGCAGAGCTACTATCGCACGTGACTATCATAGAATGTCAAAAGATGTCATGTTCTTTGGTTTGGATATGGCTTTGCTGCAGGAGCAGCGCAAAAAGGATCCACCCAAGAGGCTTCCTTGGCATCGATCACCAGCGAAGGCACTTCTTGAAACTGATATTGACAATGACGTCCACCTTCAAATTCTACCGAATGGAAAGAAGATCAAGCCGGAAGCAATCTACAAATCAAGAAGTGAATACCAAGAACACGAGCTTAAAGTATTCCGAAACCACATTTACCAAGAGGTCAAGAGACGTGAGAAACTAAAGAGTAATGTAAGGTTTGCAAAAAAGAAGCTTCGTGTGGTGCGACCCGTCATTGCAACCAACCAAGCAATCGATTTGATCGAAAGAGGAGAGATTGTTGATATGGAAGAGGAAAGGAAGAGGCTGACCAAGAAACTTGAGAGTGAAAGACTCGACAACCAAGCAGAGCCACCCGAAACCGCGCCACCTGAAACGGACAATAGCACAACAATCAGCACCACTAGTGGCACCTCGAAAACGTCCACAATGCTGGCAAAGAAGAGGGAAGCAGCTTCTAAAAAGAAAAAGAAAGCAACTCTTTAAATATATGCTTACAAAGTGATAGGATATGATGCCATGTAATACAATAGCTTGTTGTTTATCCAGACAACTCCTGCAATTCTTTCTCCGCCTCACCAAACGTCTTATCCAACCCATCTTTCAAGTTGCCAATGAAATCGTCGACATCTCCACCAGTGCCGGGAACTTGATTTGTGGTCGATTCAGCTGCTCGACTGTCGACTGTTTCAATGGTAGCATTGGTGACCTCGAAGCTGGTATCGATACCAGTCGGCAAAGCTCTCTTCTGTCGCCAGATAGCTTCTCTCTTGATTTGACGCACTGCGTTGTGTTTGTCACCGCGTCTGCTTTTGAATGCTTGGATGTCAAACGAAAACATCTTAGTGACCTCTTTCTGTCGCTTGATTGCTGTTCCACCACCAGTCATTCCAGGAACCGGGACAGGTGAGATAGCAACTTGATTGGTGCTGCCCTTGATCACCTCTTTCTCCTTTGTGGAGGAGTCAGTCGACTTCAGCTTTGGGAGAGGAATGATGGGCAGTGGCTGTGGCTGTGGCTGTGGCGGTGACGGAGGCAGTGGCTGCAGCAGTGGCGGCAGTGGCAGTGGCAGCGGAAGTGGTGAGGGCTTAACCTTTTCCTTGTCAACTGAAGCCTCTTTCTTCTTGTCAACTGAAGCCTCTTTCTTCTTGTCAACTGAAGCTTCTTCCTTGTCGCTAGCACTACTACCAGTACTACTTGAAGCTTCCGAATCTATTGTGGGAGAAGCGAAGAGTGATATCAAAGCATTGGTTAGTATTGTTTAGCAGGAAGGAGTATATAGCCACCCGCATTGTGCCAGCCATCAAAACACGATAAGCTGCCAAGCAAACGATTCAATAAGCAAGATTGCAACAGGAAGCACTGCTCGATACGATCCAATTATGAATCCGCATCCATTCCAATTATGAATCCGCATCCATTCCACTTCCGATGCTACCTCCACTTTTGATGCTACCTCCACTTTTGATGCTACCTCCTCTGGTGCTACCTCCACTTCCACCACTTCCATCGTTGCTATCGCCATCTTCGTCTTTCTTCTTCTTCTTCTTCTTCTTCTTCTTGTCCTTCTTTTTGTCTTTCTTCTTCTTGTCTTTCTTCTTCCTAGCTTTCTTCTTTTTCTCTTCTTCATCATCAGAATCCAACTCCTCTTCTGAGCTGCTGGAACCACTGGCAGACAATTCGGACGCTTCAGAAGATGATTCAGAGTCATCAAACAGGGGCTCACCTTTCTTGTTCAGCTGCATCCCTTTGAATAGAGCTTTCAGCGACATACCCGTCTTCTTCTTCTTCTTGAGATTGAGCTCGTTCTCGGCATCTTCGTCAATTACACGAAAGCTAAAGAAGGAGGGAAAGAACATTTGCTGCATCTCTTCTCGGTCCTCTCCTTCTCCAACATACGTCTTGTTGACTTGCATCAAACGGAGGTTCAGCATCTGCTTCTGGTCAGTGATAGGAACAATATCCGACTCCATTTCGCAAGTGACAACCATCTCATCTGGAAAGACGAAAAGGATATGCTTCCAACGTCGGGGCTCAAGATCGTTGTCATCATCTTCGGACTTGATAATGGCATTGCACGCAGCAGCCATCTTCTTTTTGGTGCGAGAGCAAGGTTTCTTCTCTTTGTTCAGCATCTTCTTGTGAAAGTTGAGAATGTACGAGGGGACCCATGGCATCCGCAAGAGAAAGGCTCGACCGTCAAGAACAGCCCATCCATAGATTTCATGAGCGTCTGACAAGTCAATGGTTGATGCAACGCGGAGGTCGATTTTGTCATACATGGTCGATCCATCTTTGGTTGTGCACTCTGGAATGAGTTGACACCAAAAGAGAGGACCCCCGTTCTTCTCAGGGAAGTCAAAGTCAACCATGATTGTCTCATCAGCAAACTCTTTGGCTTCATCGAGTGTTTTGAATCGACTCTGACGTTTGGCTGCAGGAGAGCCAAATGATGCACCAGATCCTGTAGATGAACCAGACTTCTTGGAGCTGGATGCTTTGGACGACGGCATTGTGACTGTGGTTCGTTGTGGTGTCGCTTGAGGGGTAGTAGTTCTCTTTTTGCTGGGGGTATACTGCTTTTTGTAGATAATAGGCTTCTTTGGAATCGACTTTCCTCTACCAAAGGTTGGCTCCGTCAATGATGATAACACCGTACCGTCGTCTTGGTGCTCCACCGTTGTTGCAGGCTTGGGCTGACTCTTGGGTTCAGGCTGCGGCTCAGGCTTGGCGGCGGCTTCTTCGTCGTCGCTATCCTTGTTGCTTTCTCGGTAACTGCCGGAATTGGTGATGGAGTCTGCAATGATCTCGCCAGCTTTTGCGTAAAGCTCCCAATATCGTTGTGGATTCGTTTGCTTGATGCCTCTAAGATAGTTGTAGCGGTTTCGGAATGCTGTTTGGTAAGGTTTACCAAGCTTGTAATAGACAGGGTATTTTTTCAACAAACCTTTCCAAAGGATCCCAGGATCCTTTTCAATATCGAGCAATATCTGACTCTTCTGTACGTCCGTGAGGGTATCTGCAGATGCTACCGATGAAGAGTCCGCTCCTTTGGTTGACTGTTCTTCCGCCTTGTCCGTGACCTGGTCCTCGACCACCTTTGTTGGCTCAGCTTCCTCCTTCTCCTTGGGCTGCTGACTGCCCCCTTTCGTCGATTTGTGCTTGCTTCTTGTTTCGGTTGGCATGATGCTTGCTTAGAGTGTCGCTTGGCTTCGATTGTGGCATTCCGTTGGGTACCATCATTGCTTCTCCGGAAAGATCTTTTCATTGGTTTTGCTTCGTCAAATTGTGGCAAAACTTTCTTTCCTGGAGCCCAACATCTAAGAAGCGCATTTTAGCCACCCAATTTACCAGTGTGCTTGTGCGTGATGGTCTTGTGCAAGAGCCTCTACAGTCCGATGCAGGTGCCTACTATTAACTCAGCTTTGCGTCAAATGATCTTGATGTTGCCTATAGATTCGTACGGTACATTGCGTCATAATAAGCAAGGCTACAACTAGTGTTTACGCATATGCTTAACGAAAGTGCATGGAGAACAGAACATTCTTTACTATTGAAAAAGATTCTTGTGGGTGCGCCTGCTTCAACATGCAAATGGGCACATTCTTTGTGCACCAAGCTATAAACAGTTTTCGCAATCGGCATTCATTTTCCTTATGCCCCTTGGACCTGACCGCATTCTGCGCTTTATCCAAGGCAAAAACTTTGGCCACCCCTCAAATCTTTTCCAGTTGCACAAAATAAACACGCACGATGGTCAAATTCATGTGCCCGTACTGCTTAAAAACGTGCAAGACCGACTGGGGTTTGAAGCGGCACCAGGATACAGTTTGCCG